TGCGCATCGCAGTTTTCCTACATTATATTTTCATACAAAATTATTGTTATCATTTGATTATAAAGGTTACTAACACATTCCAACTTTGGAAACTTTTTCATTTTGCAAGAAAATATTGGATTTTCTAAAAACCTCGTTTACCAATTTACTACCAAAAGGGATATACTTTTCAACTCAAAACACTCATGAACTCACCAACTTAATTGTTGACACTTTTCAAAACCACTTGTATTTCTCAGGGAATCAGTGATACAGGTAAACTACCAGCTTTTGGAAGAAGGAACACAAAGGATGTTTTTATCATTAAACATTTATCATCATATTGTAATATTCTTTTGATAACATGTATAACGCAACAATATACGTTTCATTTTATATATATGATGGTTGTGTTACTTTCTTTACAATATTCAATTGTTGTGATACTACGTGAAGTCATCCACCCCCGAATGTTTCCGCCATTCTTGTTTGGGGGTGTGACAAACATACAACGGGCCTAGTTAAACATACAAGGCCTAGCCCATCATATCATACAAGAGTCACAAAGACAACTAGCATAGCATATCCTAGTGATGGGTTTTTGTCATAAGAACATCCTATGTGCTGATACCAACCCTAATGCTTGGATCTAGGTTTCTCTATTGTACATGCAAGTTATCCAAGACTATAAACCCTAATTCTAGCATTCAAGTAATCATATTAACATGAGAATAGGTTTAAGATCATACCTTGATTGTTATGTAGCAATAACAATCTCAATTCCTCCTTGTATTGACTTTAGAAAGCTTAGAGTCATAAATGTCACTCCTCTAATGGTTCACAAACACCAAGAGCAAGAGCATGAAGAGGAGAGAGGATGGAGGCTGCCCAAAAACGTTTGAAACCCTAGAAGGATGCTTAGCCACGTTTTTGGGTCATAAGGGATCTATATATAGTGAGGCTATTAGGGTTATCTAACAAGGAAACCCTAATTTGGATGCTTAAGCCCTAAGCAACCCATAGATTCCTTTCCTTAAGGCCTTAGACGATTTCCTCATGGGCTTTCCCATAGAATTCGTCCACTCCTTAATATAAGGCAATCCATAGCCCAAATTGCAATTACCTTATAATTACAATTCCAGTCCCTTAAGTTTAATTAATCTCTTTTAGTCACAAAACTAATTACCAATTAATTATTGACTAATATTAATTAAACAATATGATTTCTCCTTTAATATATTATTCTCATAATATATTAATAAATCATATTTAATCCTTTCTCTCCATAATGCATCTTATCAAGTTGCTTTGGTGAAGGCAACCCAAAAGGACCATGCACTATCGGGTCAAGTACATACCAAAATAATTATGGACTTAGATACTAATCCAACACCTAGTTGGTCGGCATTGACGCCTTAGACCCACAGGTACAGTGAGGAAACTCACCTTAATCAGAAGATAGCAAATCTCACGCTCAAACCTACTGCACAACGACTCCCCACACTAAACACAATCAATACCAACCTTAGTTACATTCTTAAGGTAAAACCCATAAATCATGACGCCCTAGAATGGCCCAAGCCCAAACTAGGCCTACTAATGGCCTAAACCCAATTAGAGGGCCCTAAGGCCCAATACGAGCCCAAAACCAAAATATCCACAACCCTAGAGTCCAAAAGGAGACTCTTCGGGAGTACGCCCTACATACCAGAAGAGTACGCATCGTATACTCACCACCAAAGCTCAACTTACAATACACTAATACACAAACCACGCATTACGCAGAGCGTACTCCTATGTACTCCCAACGTACTCAGCAGAGAGCCAAAATCCCCAAAAGAATCTCTTAATGGTTAAGACAAGAACATCCAAACTCATATCTGGCTCGAAATGATGTCTAAACACCTAAAGTTGGCAACTTTTACTCCTTTACATGCCTTAATAGGACCCAATACTCAATAAAATCCATAATAAGCTCTCAAACTCATGCATGGTCTAAAATAATTCATCAAGATGACATTTTATGACTTAATAACCTCAACTAAGACCAAACATGAGGCTTAAAGATCCTGGAGTAACTTCTTCTCACAAGAACCACAATCTTGGGACCAAAGTATGCTTAACAATTTCCATAACTAGATCTACACTAAAGAACCAAAATTTTTGAAGCTTTATACCTCCAGAAGATAGATTAAGATGCACAAAGTCGGGATCCACAAGCTTCAAGCAACCCAACACTCCTTGAAGAATCTCCTTCTTCTTGGATAAGCACCAAAACACATGAAATCACCCCAAGAACTGAAGAACCACTCAAATGGGGGTTCAGGTTTCGTATCTAGGGTTTAATGGGGTGGAGGCTGAAGGTAGGAAGGTTTGGAGTTGAGTTAAGGCCATTAAATAGGGTTCAAGATCCTAAATTAAAGTTTTCACCTGACTTGAGTATGCCATGCGTACTCCTAGTATGTCCAACATACTAAAGAGGGCATCCACGATTCATTTGCTTAGTACGCCTAGCGTAATAGACTTAACCATAATACGACCAAGATTCCGAAACCCATAACTTCTTGGTTCTAAGTCCGTTTTCAACTATCCTTATATCCCCAAAAAGGTAACTATAACAACCCAAAAATCAAGGGTAAAAAAATTCATTTTTCATTATAGTCAAACACAAATGTTACTTAATCCAACCATTCAAAAACATTGCTCAATTAAAACATTTATCAGAGTTACATCCCAAAGTCACTTAATGCGGAAAAAACGGGTGTGTGCGTTGCGATTAAGTCGGGCCCTCCTTTCCAAACCAATGATACCTGAAACCATAAACAAAATTGTAAACACGAAGCTTAGTGAGTTCCCTATAACATACCCCACACAATCCACATAATCACATGAACCATATCAGCATATAAGCCACATCAACCACATAAGCCATGCATGCAAATATATAAGGATGCCATGGAAACCCTCCAAGGTCTTACACCAGGTGCCATGGGAACCCCCACATGGTCTTAACTAATCAGAAGAAATGGCATACAAGCCATATAAACCATACATAAAAACTTATAAGGATACCTTGGAAACCCTCCAAGGTCTCCTGGTGCCATGGGAACCCCCACATGGTCTTATGTCCAATTGCCTCGGGCGGTCTCCGGGGTCTTCCATGAAAGTATCACAAAGACAACTAGCATACCACATACCAAAAGAATCAACTAGCATACCACACATAACTAATTGCCATAGGAACCCCCACATGGTCTTCACATAAATACATAATATATCGATAGCACATCCGCAATAAGCATCCCAACTAGATAAATGAGTCGGCCTTGGTGCCTTTGACCCATTAGTATGGTGAGGAGACTCGCCTCACACTGTCGAAGTCACGCGGATAAAACTCTAGTTGTTGGATGACACACTCCTGATCTGTCCATATCAAAACGACACCCAATTAACCATTTGGGTTTCAATGCATAACCATAAATCCACACTTGGGGTAAAAGGACCATTTTACCCTCTAACCTAGGTTGGTTCAAAACCAAGGCCCAAACTCACACTCTGAAGGCCAAAAAGCCAAATAATCAACCAAGGCCCAACATATGGCTCATTTTTTCAAATTGAGCCCAACCTCTACATGGTCTTACCTTAAGGCCCAGCCATTTATTCTAGTCCAACTACTTGCATTCCGATGGTCCAATATCTCATAATCATCAAGGCCTAATTATGGCCCACTTATGGCCCAATTTTCCAAATTTGGCCCAAACCCCTCACATAGGCCTTACCCTAAAGCCCATTTGAATATCCTAGTCCATATACTTGTTCTCAGATCGCCTAACAAGAACCCAAACACCTAATCCCAAAAGAAGGCCCAACTTGAAGCCTAAACATAATTAGGGGTTTTCACATAAAATGATGATTAGGGTTAAGTGTTCTTACTTAACTCATTAAGGACTTAATCCATTAAGTCCATCACCCCACTAGGCCAAACATACAATGTAATCGGGCATAAGTCATAACATTAATCCAATGGTCCAAGACATGGGTCCCGACAATCCAAAACTTAACTTTTCCAAAATTAGGGTTTTCTAAACCCTAATTAGGGTTTCCAACCCACTCACAAGCCAATTAGACCAAGGGTTAAGTTTTTACATTAATTAAAGTCTAATAAGTTGGGTACCACCCACTACCACCTCGGGTAGTGGTGGTTGGTGGTGGGTTTTTCTTCTGATTTTTCAGCCAAACAAATACATTATACAACATATTATCTAAAAGGAAAACATACACAATATAACACACACACACACAACCACCCTTGTGGCAGCAACCAGTGGCCGGAGTTGATGGCCACCACGTCACAGTGGTGGTGGTGGTTCTCAGCCACTCCTATACGGTGCATCCGGCGGACCGAGCAACTAGCAGCAACACGGCAACCGCTTGGAGCGGAGGCGGCGGCAACGGCTCGTTACCAGTACGAGATGGAAAAGAGAAAAGGTGTTTCAGTTCCTTCTAAGTGCAGCAACAACGGCAGCAGAAAAGAACGTCTACCCACTCGCGGTCCTGGTCGTCGCCAACAATGAGAAGTACAACGTGCAAGACGACGACTCACAATGGCGGCGAGGGGTCGACTGATATTGGTGGTCAATGGAACAGTAACACGCAAAGTCCACCACTCCATCTTGAGCTATCTCGACGTTGGGGAAGAATGAGGGTCGACGACAGCTCCCTTGGTGGCCTTGGTTGATCAGAAAAAAATGAGAAAGAACCATGGTGGCGGCTGAGAGGTCACAAGTGGTGGCTGACTCCTAATGTTAGGGTTAGGGTTAACATAAGCGAGTAAGGTGACGGGTTTTAACCCGTCTCAATTTGAACTTCTTAATGTTTTGACACTCCCGGCCCCTCCCCCCTCAATATCACGTGCTTAAAAACGATAAATAAAATAAGAGGTTTCTATATCGAAAGAGGTTAACCACTGGACAAGATTCTTAGTCAATGGAAAGAGAATGTGACAATAATTTAAAAATTGCTAGCCACTATAGATGATGTTATATAAATGAAAGACCAGTATATTTTGCATATGAGCTTAACCAAATGAGGTACATGTATCCATGGATTATCTATATATACAAGCGTAGCCTAGCCTGCTATGCTAAAAAAGTAAAAATATTGAGCTAATGAGGAAATGTCTCCTCAATGGCCCTTCCTCATCTGACTTGAACCTACATATACAAAGTTATAAGTACACATGAAACAACTCCAATCAATAGACTCCTCAAAAGCCTTTTACAGCAACATAAGAATAAATTACATATCCATAAACATAGACCTACTAAATGCTCAGAATTCAGAATCCAAATTAAGAAACAAGTTGAAAGTACCATACTATAATTTTGTGGATTAAAAAATTTAAAGTACAATGCTTTAAAAGAAAAAAAAAAATCATATAGAGGTAGAATGCAATAATATACAAAAGTAAATTCATCTTATATATATATATATATATATATATATATATATATATATATATATATATATATATATATATATATATATATATATTATATTATATATTATATATATAAGGCCAACCTTAGGAACAGTAATAGGAACAGTAAACTTGCTTGGGTTTTGGCAAATTTTGTCCACAACTTTACATATTTTCAATGGTACAGATTTTTGCCACAAGAGTTTGTCATATTGACAATTTGGTCCCGTAAAGTATTTAATGGTTTAGACTTTTGCCACACGAGTTTGTCATATTGATATTTTAAATATTTTCATATTTTGTCCTTCTTTTTGCCCCATTTTTGACAGCTTCAGTCCCTAAACTCATTTATTTGACAACTTTGGACCTTCTGGTCAATGATTATCATTATTATTATACATTGTTTTTTGTATTCATGATTTAAAAGGAAACTAACCGATATATTGTTGATCACGGAACGAATTCAAATACCTCTGTTCTAACTGCAAACAGCCAAATAATTAGCATCCAACTTTCATTTCTTTCTATCAAGGCATTTTAATCTCAAGAATAAGTAAGGCATATTTCTTTCAATATAATTGCTAACACCAAGTTTTAAAATTTACACTTTACCTTTTGGTATCAAAAATGAATTTTAGTGAAAAAAAAAAAATATATGTTCCAACCACCAACCAACCTATACCCGTTAAGAAGAGGATTCCGCTTCCGCTTCCGTTTCCGGTTCTCCGGTGGATTCTCTCCTGGGAAGCGTGTCGTAATCTACAAAATCAGGGTATCTGATCTTCATCTCCTCCTTAGGCTCCCAAGTCCGCCTTCTCCCATGAGTATGCTTCCATTTCACAAGCACAAGTTCAACGTCTTTGTTCCCAAACTTTTTTGTCCTTGCTTCTAGAACACCTTCCGGGTCTTCAAATATTTTGTTGGAGGATTCCACTTTCAGGTCCGATACTGGGATGACCCCACACTCTTTCCCATCGTACTTTTTGAGAAAACTTACATGAAACGTGTCGTGTATTCCTTTCAGTTCCTCGGGTAAATCCAGTTTACAGAATTGAGATCCCACGGTTTTCAAGACTTTGAATGGTCCGATGTGGTTAGGAGACAATTTGGCTCCGGTTCGAAATCTCATTACACCTTTCAGAGGCGACACCTTTAACATGACCAGATCATCCAGTTTTAAGTCGTAGGGTATTTGTTGCTTTTCTTCCGTTGCTTTCTTTCTCCTTCTCCTTTTCTTCTTTGCTTTTGCTAGTTTGCGAGCTAACAAAGACTTGTTTTTCCTCTTCTTGTTACTGGAGATTACCTCATTGCCATAAAGTTGGGGAGTTTTGTTTTTGTTCCTGTTTTTGACATTCTCTTTCAATCTTAAAAGCCTCATCTTTCTAGCAAGTGCTGCTGGGTTAATGGGGGTTAGATGAATATCCACATTGGGTGTTGGATTGTTAGGGAAAGAGGAGGAGGAGTTGTTCTTGTCCTTGTTTTTCTGTTTCAACCTCATAATCCGAAACCTTCTAGCAAGTGCTGCTGCATTCACATTGGGTCTTGAGTGATTAAGTGAAGGGAAAGAGGAGGAGGAACTGTTGTTGTTGTTGTCCTTGTTTTTCTGTTTCAACTTCATAAGGCGATAGCTTCTAGCACGTGCTGCTGCTGATCTTCTGAGATTTGGATCATTATGGAAAAAGTAGGAGATGTTGTTGATGTTGTTGTTGTTGTCTTTGTTTTTCTCTTTCAACTTCATAATCCGATACCTTCTGGCATCTGCTGCTGCTGCTCTTCTGAGGATCGGATCATGAGACCAAATGTGGTTGTCATGAGTTTTGCCAGGTGGATCCAACTGATTGGAGGAACTCACTCCCACTACATTCCCTTTGTTGGGATCTGCCACAGACTTTTCACAATGCTGCTGAGATGATGATGGTGCTTCTGCTGCTGGTGGAGGTGATGATGGTGCTGCTACTGCTGGTGGAGGTGATGATGGTGCTGCTGGTGTTGCTGGTGGAGGTGGTGGTGGTGGTGTTGCTGGTGGAGGTGATGGTGGTGGTGGTGTTGGGTGTGGGGGTAAAGATTTCGATGGTGGTGGTGCTTGTGCTTGGTTTGGGGGTAAAGATTTTGATGTTGATGGTGGTGGTGGAGGGCCGTGGTGGGGTAAAAATTTCAACATGGTAATTCTCCTACTGGTGCGAGTGAACACTTTTCCTTTTTTGGGTTCTACCATAGATTTTTGACTGTGCTGCTGTGATGTTGGTGGTGGTGGTGGTGGTGGTGGTGGATAGGGCGGCTTGGGAATAATTCTCCTATATCTTTGTTTGGGTTGTACCATAGATTTTTGACAGTGCTGCTGTGATGGCTGTAGTGATGGTTGTAGTTGTGGTGGTGGCTGGGGTGACAATGATGGTGGCGGTGGTGGGGGTACAGATTTTGATGGTGGTGGTGCTGGTGCTGGGTGTGGAGGTGGTGGTGGAGGGCTGTTGTGGTGGGGTAAAAATTGCAACATGGTAAATCTCCTACTGGTGCTAGGGAACACTTTCCCCTTTTTGGGTTGTACCATAGATTTTTGACAGTGCTGCTGTGATGGCTGTAGTGATGGTTGTAGTGGTGGTTGTGGTGACAATGATGGTGGCAGTGGTGGGGGTAAAGATTTTGATGGTGGGCATGATGATGATGGTGGGGGTGGAAGTGAAGGTGGGAGTGGGAATAAAGATGTTGATGGCAGCGGCTGTGGTGGTGGTGAGGGTAAAGATTTTGATGGTGGTGATGGGGGTAAGGATGTTGATGGCGGCGGTGGTGGTGGTGGGAGTAAAGATGTTGATAGTGGTAATGAGGGCGGGAGTGGGGGTAAAGATGTTGATGGCGGCGGTGGTGGGGTGGGGGTGGGAGTAAAGATGTTGATGGAGGTGGTGGTGGTGGTGGTGTTGGGTGTGGGGGTAAAGATGTTGATGGTGGTGGTAGGGGTGTGGGTGGGAATAAAGAATTTGATGGCAGCGGCGGTGGCGGTGGCGGTGGCGGTGATGGTGATGGTGGTGGTGTTGGGTGTGTGGGTAAAGATTTTGATGGTGGTGTTGGGTGTGGGGGTAAAGATGTTGATGGAGGTGATGATGGTGGTGGTGGTGGTGGTGGTGGGGAAGGGCTTATAATTCTGTTACTGGAGCCTTTGTTGGGATGCAGCATAGATTGTTTACGATTCTTCTTTTCTGGTTCTAGCCATGGCAGTGGCACTACTGTTGGTGGTTGTGGTGGTGGAGAGGCAGGCCTTGTAATTTTTTTATTGGAGCGAGTCAGTTGCACCACTTTGCCTTTGCCTTTACCTTTGTTGGGATGCAGCATAGATTGTTTACGTTTCTTCTTTTCTGGTTCTAGCCATGGTAGTGGCACTAGTGTTGGTGGAGGGGCAGGCCTTGTAATTTTGTTAGTCAGTTGCACCACTTCACCTTTGCCTTTGTTGGGATGCAGCATAGATTGTTTACGATTCTTCTGTACTGGCGGTGGCAATGGTGTTGGTGGTGGTGGAGGGGCAGACCAAGGCCTCGCCTCTACCGGGGCGTACCAGTTTGGGATGTACCATAAATAGTTGGGCTGTTCACTAGATTGTGGTGGTGGTGGCGGCGGCCGTGGAGGGGCAGAGCTGGTATTTCTGTTACACGCACAAGTCGGTGACTCCACTTTGTCATTGTTGGGATCTACTGGTGGTGGTGGTGGTGGTGGAGGGGCAAACTTGAATCTTTTCCGATGATATTGTAGTCGATAACGATTTGTTTTAACAGAATTAATGTTGCCAGCTGGATCACCAACACCAACACCACCGCTGTTACTGGAGTGAGTCACTGCCACCAGTTTGCCATTGTTGGGATCTAGTGTAGTGTGTTGACAAGGCTGCTGTAATTGTTGTTGTGGTGGTGGAGGGGCAGAGTTGGTAATTTGTTGATGATAGCGATTGACTTTTACAAAATGAATCTTGCCACGTGGATCAACCATATTCACAAAACTTGATCTACCATTACCACCAAGGTTACTGATAGTGGACGAGGTCACCGCCACCATTTTGCTTTTCTTGGAACCTGCCACGGATGATGGTGGTGGTGGTGGTGGAAGGGCAGGACTGGTAATATGTTGTTGATCACGAGTTTTTACATAGTGAACATGGACAAGTGGATCAACCACATTAGCAGAACCAGGTCTTCCAACAATGTTACCATTACTGGAGCAAGTGATTGCCACCACTTTGCCATTGTTGGGATTTACCCAAAATTTTTGAAAATGCTGTTGTGATTGTTGTTGTTGTGGTGGTGGTGGTGGTGGTGGTCGCGTAGGTGGTGGTGGTGGTGGACGTGGTGGTCGTCGGGGTGGTGGTGGTGGTGGAAGGACCTCTTGTCTTTTTGCTTTTGCTTTCAACTCCTGTTTTTTTGTTGGTGGGGATGGTGGTGGAGGGGGTGGTGGTGGTGGAGGGGCATCCATCTTTCTCTTTTCTATCTGCAATTAATTAAAGAGATTTTGATTAAATAATTCAATAAGAATCAGAACAAATTGGATTTGATCAAATAAATTGAATATTACCTCTTGTCTTTTTGCTTTCACTTCAAGTATTTTTGCATCCAACCCCAGACTTTGACCTCTTTTTTTTGCTTTCAACTCCAGTCCTTTTGCTGCTGGTGGTGGTGGTGGAGGTGGTGGTGGTGGAGGTGGAGGTGGAGGTGCATCCATTTTTCTCTTTTCTATCTGTAATTAATTAAAGAAATTTTAATTAAATCATTCAATAAAAAATAGAGCAAATAAATTGAAGATTACCTCTTGTCTTTTTGCTTTCACCTCCAATATTTTTGCATCTAACCCCAAATTTTGACGGCGTTTGTTTGCTTTCAACTCTAGTCTTTTTGCTGGTGGAGATGGTGGTGGGGGTGGTGGTGGTGGTGGAGGGGCATCCATTTTTCTCTTCTCTATCTGCAAATAATTAAAGAGATTTTAATTAAATATTTCAATAAAGATCAGAACAAATAAATATGATCTCTTGTCTTTTAGATTTCACCTCCAGTATTTTTGCATCCAATCCCAGATTCTGAGCTCGTTTTTTTGCTTTCAAGTCCACTCTTTTTGCTGGTGGGGATGGTGGTGGTGGTGGTGGTGGAGGTGGAGGGGCATCCACTTTTCTCTTTTCTATCTGCAATTAGTTAAAGATATTTTATTTAAATAATACAATGACAATCAGAACATATAAATTGAAGATTACCTCCTGTCTTTTTGCTTTCACTTCCAGTATTTTTGCATCCAACCCTAGACTTTGACCTCGTTTTTTTGCTTTCAACTCCCGCCTTTTTGCTGGTGGGGATGGTGGTGGGGGTGGTGGTGGAGGTGGTGGTGGTGGAGGGGCATCCATTTTTCTCTTTTCTATCTGCAATTAATTATAGTTATAGATATTTAATAATTAAATAAGGATCAGAACAAATGGGATTTGATCAAATTGATGGAAGATTACCTTTTGCCTTTTTGCTTTCACCTCCAGTATTTTTGCATCCAACCCCAGATTTTTAGCTGGTTTTTTTGCTTTCAACTCCAGTCTTTTTGCTTCTAACTGCAGATTTTGAGCTCTACGTTTTTCATGTAGGGTATCCGTGGCTCTTATTTTCTGACGTTTCATCGTTCTTATTTTTCTGCTATCCATGGCTTCTATTTTCTGTTTAATCAATTCATTAAATCAAGATTTAGGGGGAAAGGATTTTAAGAAGAAAGTCAAATTCAAAGTTATGAGATTATTGCATACCCTCCTTGCCATGATTTCTTTTTGCATTTCATTGTATCTCTGAATCAAATCATCTGTTGCCTGTATATATATGAATAAAGTTTAAAGAAGGAGAATTAAGTGAATCTAAGGCAAAAAAATATGAGAAAGATCATAAAAATCAATAATGATTTAAATGTTAGGTTTTCAATCGAACACAATCCCCAATTTTCAATGTTATCGTTGAAGACTTGTATGAATTACAGCAATTCGATCACAACAGCTAAGAAATAAGAAAATAACTTGAAAAAATCTATGATAATCTGTAAGAGCCCTATAACAAAGTCATCGAATTATTAATGGAAATTGAAGTAAACATCGCAACAAGTACCTTTCTCTTTGATAATTTCTTCGAAGATGACTGTTGTTTAGGGCTCTCAGCAGCCCCGTCGTTTCCGGTACCACTGCGTAATAAACAAAGCGTCGTTGAAGGCCCTTCATCATCATCTTCCGCTGCCCTTACTTCCTCCGGTGACGCGTTCGATGTCGAAGCAAACACAGATCTTTTCTTCTTCCGATCCCAGGTAAAAGTGGATTTACTTATCAACTCCGATTGCTCAACTACATCCGGTAGATTGAGCAAAATATCCGCAATTTCACCCTCATCTTCCTTCGCAATTCTACTCCTACCACCACCGCCTCTGCCACCCTTTCTACGCCGTTTCATATCCGCTTTACAGCAAGTGCATCAATTCCGTTAATCAGAGAAAATGATGGAACTATGAAGATCAACGTGTATTAGATACGAGATTTTGAAAGAAAGATTGGTGAACGAAGGAGATGAGACAGAGATGAGTTGTCGTTGATAGAAAAATAAGGGAAAATAAAATGTGTGTAAAGAAAAAAAAAAGGAAGAATTGGAGAAAGACTAGCTATGCCACGTGTCAGTATACGGCGCATTTTAGGGTTTATACGAGTATGATTTATACTGAAAACTTTTACAAGTCGCTAATAGTAATTTTTATTTTTATATTTTATATTTATTAACTTTGATTTGCTTTTGATTTACTAGTTTCATTCAAAAAAATATACTGTATATATTACGAACACGTGTCAAATTCCTGTAGCAAGAGCCTTTTGTTTTCAACCGTTGGATTTCTTCTAGATCGGACGCTCCACAGGTTACACGCGTTATTCTCTTGTTTCCCCTATTCTTCCACATGTCTCATGCTCATTGAAGTATACATCGTATATTTCTTCTTCGTAGTTTATAGAAATCGATTACAGTGGGATTTTAGGGTTTAAAGTTTTCGAAACCCTAATTCCCTGAATAGTTCTTCTACCCAATTACGTTATTCAAAATTATTTGTTAAAACAGGACAAATATAATTTGCGTTTTAGAGAGCTAATAACAATTGCGTATCAAATTCATTCACCAAATACAACTCCAACTAAAAACAATCGTCACTACAATACAAAGGTCCAGAATTTTAACCAAAATACTAAAAATCCCAAAATCAAGCAACTTTTGGTTTCTTGATCTTTCTACTTATAACAAAATCATCATCAGATTCACTATCACTGTCTTCCAAAATCTTTCTTTTCTTTGGTTGCACAGATGAAGATTTAGATGAATCAATTTTTTTCTTCTTTTCAGTTGAAATACTCGTTTTCTTAATCGATACAGACGAATCACTTTTCTTCTTAACAGTGACTACTGTTGTCATTGGTGCCCCAAGTTTTAGCTGTTGAGCTTTCTTCTGTTTCTTCTCAAATAACTTCTTGGCTACATCTTTTGGTAGCAACCCAACTTCCATCATCCTACAAATGCATTTGGTTATACAAGTTTTTTAATTTTTGCCAAATACCCAAAATACCCTTTAGGAGATTAAGCCCAATACTTACCAAAATGCAGCCATTTCACTAGTAGGTATTTGTTCGTACAAGCTTTCATAGAAAATTCTTAATGGGTCTCTCTGAAAATTTCATAAAAAAAAACTCATTAATTTTATATAATAACAAGGGCATTTTAGTCTTTTGCACAGACAAGAGGTTGAGAGTGAGTCAATGTCCCACTTTTTTGTATGGGACAAAACAAACTCGCTGACATAGTCATAGTTTCCGTGTGGGATAAACACAGTACAATCTGTTCTGATCTGTCTTGTCCTGTATATACAGATGATTTGTAGAAAAGTTATGTATACCTCTTCGGGTGGGTCCCGCTTTTGACCAGGCATTTCATACACCTTCTTTTCCTTCTTCTTAACATCTTCTCCTTTACCACTCTTTCTCTTTTCTTCTTTCTTCTTCCCATTTTTCTCACTTGAATTTACCACTTTTTTCTTTATTCAATATAAGCAAAATTAATCATTTAAAGAACATAAACATTATGCAAAACAATACAAAGCTTGAAGCAATTGGTGGCTACAAATTTGTGTCCATTGATTATCAATTTGTGAATTAACATTATAGTCTTCATAAACTATCAAGAAATGTTTACAAAAGTTAATAGATATCATATATCAGTTTATATGTTTTGATGTAGAATCCCACTTCAAAAGTACAAAATGTGCCAAATTTTACAAAAAAGTTTAAGAATTTATACCACAAACCTTATCAGAATTTCCAGTTTTTTCCTTCTTGACCTCACTGTTTGGTGTCTTCTTCTGCATCAAAATACGAAATTTCAAAAACAAGAATTATACGTTGTCCAGAAGAAAAACAAAACCCATATAGAATATCAAGAAAAATAGTTTAAATTAAAATGTATAACAAACCGTATTAGCATTTCCAGCTTCCTCCTTCTTCACCTTGTTGATGGGTGTCTTCTTCTGTATGAGAAATCGAAACATTAAGCAACCATAAACAAGAAAAACCCTACAAAAGAAAGTTGAAAAAAGAAAAAGGATAAATGAATCGTCAACCGTTTCAGCACTTCCAGTTACTTCTTTCTTGGGTTTATCATTCTTGGGTGTTTTTTTCTTGGGCGTGAAATCGTCATCAGATTGTTCTTCTTTCTTCACTTTCGACTCCGATTTCTTTAATTTGGCATCCTTGAGAGAAAGCGACTTGGTGGAGTTAGGTTTTTTCGGCTTGTTTTTAATGATTGAGCTGAGGGATTTCTCGTCATTGTCATCGTCGTCTACTTCATTCTTTAGAGAAGGTGATTTGGCGCTGCCGTTGGGTTTTTTGTTCTTGTTTTTAAGTAGTGAACTGAGGGATTTTTCGTCATTTTCATCGTCGTCTACTTCACTCTTGACAGATTTTGCATCTTCAGAAGACATTTCTGTTCTTGGGTATGTGTTGGGAATACAGAATTGAGAGGGAAGGCCGAGGGTTTTGGGGGAATTTGGGAAGCAGAAAGATTGAAATTTTTGGGAAGCAAAAGGGGAAAACTAAAAAGGACGTAACGTTGCAATTTGGAATATGGGCTAAAAATGTGCTAATAGATTATGGCCCAATTAGTAGTTGCAGAAGCCATAAATTCGTACTTATGGGCTTATGGTTAAATTCACGATTAAAAGATACACATTTTCCAGCAAGGAACTAGGGTATAGAACAATTTTTTTTATTTATTATTTTCTTAATCAATAAGATAATATGGAACAATAATTAAAAGGGATGAGTGAAGCAACTTGATGGCTCATCACCTCATGGCTGACGATTGATCACATATTGACGGGGTGAAACGAGGGTTGTTCTAAACCAGATATCAGAAAATTCGGATATTCGAATTTCGGATAGTGCATTTAGTATCTGAATTTGTATCCGAACATTTCAATTCAGAAAAAAAAAATCATATTCACTATTATGAAAAAGAAATTTACTATTATGAAAAAGAAACATGATATTGAAAATATTTTCAAACAAATTGAATCATACAAACATTATCCAGTTTTATTTGAAGAATGTTTTGAAGTTCAAATAGTATAAACATAAAGTATACCGACTTACGATATTATTGTTTAACATAACTTTAGTCTTTAGTACAAAATTACTTATTTAGAATAACTATCAAACATATTACCTCAAATCATGTTTTGACTTCTAATATTATCACTTGAGTTGAGTTGGGGATTGCATATTGTATTGTCATTTCACTAAGAATATATATGAACATACCCTTAGCGCATTAAAAAATTACAACGATTTGTGTACATTTAGATAGAGGTATTCATTTGGATGAATCGGTTCAGTCCGATCCGATTAAGTAAATACTAATTGATTTCGGTTTTCAAAATATAGATCTGAATAATCCAAACTAAATTTAAATCCGAATCTGAACTGATCAATTTACAATTCGGTTTGATCGGTTTCTACGATTCGGTTTTCAAAAACCAAAACATTTTAAAACGTTATATAGTTATAATATTATCCAATTTTTATAGAAGAAACAAAAACAAATTATTTAGTTGTGATTTAAAATTTATAGGTAACTACTAACAAGGTATATTAGAGTTTAATATTTAATAGATAAAAAAACTATTAAGATAAAATGTATATTAATGTTTCTATTAGGTGAAACTTTTTGAAGTTATTTGAAAAAATAAATTAATAAATAGTTATAGATATATTAAAAATAAATAAATAGTAAATTGTTATTCGGTTTTTTGAAATATTCGGTTCTTATTTTGTAAACCAAAACAAATTTGAAATCCAAAATAATAATTCTGTTTTGTTGAAAACTAATCCAAAAATCTGAATATCCGAACCAAACAGTCTAGTTCAAATTATCCAAATAGTAAGCAATCGTACATTTAGATACTACACATAGAGGTGACAATGGGTCAATATGGGTTGTGTTTGGGTTCAACCCATTTAATAATTAGGTTCAAATTTTCAACCCAATCCAACATGTTTATTTAAATAGGTTGATATTTCAAATCCAACCCAATCCAACATTTTAGATAAATAGGTTGTTACTGAGTTGACATGTTTATGTAGTTTCCGACTCAATCTATTAAATAAATGGGTTAAACTTAGGTTAACCCATTTAAGATCAATTAAATAAATTATATAATTAAATATTATATGACTATAATTATAAAAGGTAAATAGAACTTCATAATTATGATAAAAGCACAATCACAATTCATAAATACAAGTAAATTGTTCAAATAACATTAAAAATATTTAGATCCACGATGATTTTGGAGAGTGACCAGTATTATTGTCACTAAAAAATGAAAGAAATTAGGATTGAATTTTATTAAACATAGATAATAATAATGCAACATTATAATTACAAATTAATACTTTGATTAATACATATATATATATATATATATATATATATATATATATATATATATATATATATATATATATATATATATATATATTAAAGTTAAATGGTTTGACGGATTGATAATTTTACCCAATCAACCTATTTAATTAAATGGGTTAGACGGGTTGACCTTTAAGTTAAATGGGTTGAAAATCTCAACCCAACACGTTAATTTTGGTTTTAGTTCGGGTTGGGTTAGCGAGTTTAATCGATTTTTGTCAACTAACTACACAAAAATATTTAAAGCATGGTTAAAAAGATATTAAAACCAAAAGTTAATAAAAAAATACAACTAAAAAATATTTCTTAATTAATAATTTATTTAATATAATTAATTAATAATTTTGAGTTTTTTACTACGAAAGTTAGTTAATTTTATAATCATAGTTCTCACGGGTTATAAACTAGTATTAAACACACATACACAATGATTATCACGCCATACTCTTTTGTCGTTAAATTTTGTTTTACTATATTCTATTTTGATGCAACAAAAAATAAGATATTTAAACAATAATTAAAAAATGTTGTCTAAAAGTAAAATCAAAAGAAGATAGTAATCAGTCCCATTAATTGTCTTATCCATTTTAAAATAATAAACAAAATATTCAAAAAACAAAATAAACTTGTTTTTTAGAATTTTCAGATATCCAAAATATCCGGATATTTCTGAATTCACTATCCGTATCTGAATCCGACAAAACTTATATCGGAATTTTCAGATATCCGAAATTTTGGATATTTCGAATTGGATTTTTGGATTCGGATGTTTTTGAACACCCCTAGGTGAAGCAACATAGCAACATGGGTTTATGAACAAAATGGGAACTAGCGAATCTAAGATAGGAATCCATTTTAGGGCGTTAACCTGCTTGTAGACCATCATAAGTCAAACTTGAAACTAATCTCGGGCTGGATTGAGATCGACGTTTCACTAAAAAGGGAGATTGCATTTGGGTTGATGATCTAGACCAAAGTTGGACTTTTGGGTTGGGTCAAGTTTAGTCCTTAGACCTTTTTTGGGATTGGAATGAGATCGGTGCAACATCTGATTTTCAAGTATTTTCATTTTAACCATTGGCCCAATTAAAGTTTGCATATTTGGTCCTTTATGTCAAAAATCTTGCACTTCAGCACGTACGTTGGGCGTACATGAGGTACGTGCAACATACATGTTCGAGACACGGAATCGCAGGATGCAAGATAATACGCGGGGCGTACTAGCTCAACTCCTAAACCTTAAATTTAAGGGTTTGTCCCATATTTAATCCACCTTACGCCTCCCTTGGACATTTCTTATCAGCCTCCACTCTTTACAAACCCTAATCTCGAGCCTAAGCCTTGTATGTGAAGATTTTGAAGCTTGTTAGTGATGTTGGTGCTCCCTTGTTGAAGAAGAAGACTATTGAAGAACGTGGTGTTGCTTGCAAGCTTGTGGATCCAAAAACTACCTCACTTTGTGCATATTTTGAAGGTATAAAGTTTATACCTTGATTAGATTTATTAAATGGGTTTTTATAAGCTTTTTGTCCCAAAGCTTGGACCTTTGTGAGTATGTGTTACTCCAGAGTATTTTGGTTATCCTTTTAGATGTATTAGAGTGCTTAGATTCGTAAAAATGGTTGCTTGATGGTCCCTTTCCATCCATGCAAGAGTTTGGTGGTGTTGAGTATGGATTAAGTTAGGGTTTTAAGGTTTAAGACCTTTACATCCATGCAATGGCTTAAACCTATGGACTTTATGGATTAAGACGTTCTATGGAGGTCATATCTATGTTTTGATTGCAAATCTTAATGATTAAGATGTATGGGAGTGGCTTTTGGGACCAGACAACGTAAGTCCAGCATACTACTAGCAACGCCCAGCGTAGCCAGACCTAACCCCCACTCACCAGATCCTTCGAGTATGACGTACGTAGCGGAGTGTACGCCCTGCGTATGCGCTGGGCAGTTGACTTTTGCTGACTTTTTACTTTTGGTCAAGATTTGGGGTTTTAGACCATAAAAGGGGAAAAATAGTATATTTTTTTCCATTAAGGGACATAATTTTGGGATTTGGACTTGTGTGTTGAGTTATGGACCTAAATTATTAAGTAGGGTTAATTATTGAGTCATGGACCTAAATTATTAAGTAGGGTTAATTATTATTAAGTAGGGTTAATTATTGTGTTAATAGGGGAATCTAGTAAGGGGAATCTAAAACATAAGGCTTATCTACTCTATATATTCTTATCAAAAATGTTGTTTTTGTAAATAATTTATCTCTGGAATTGATCTACTAAAATCTTACTTGTTCGTAAAAAAAGGAAAAAAATTTACTAAGAAACAAGATACAAAACTTATGTCTCAAGATACACGACGTATGTTATCATGTTGGAATTGACTCAAAAGGTCTCATGAAACAATAAGAAATATGAAAACAACTCGATTATTATGTACACATGCATAACAAAAAGAGATGACATCTTATAAATCACATGTTAAAGTTGAAGTTGTCATTGGGCTCATTGATCACCCATATATGCAAATAAACATATAAGTATTTCTCATGCAATGGAATTTTATGATGACCAGAGACTCTCCAAAGTTACTAGGGTTGACGGGTTTGTCACCACAGGTGCAAAACAAGACCTAAAAATTGGTTAGACCTAATGCATGCTTATCGTATTTTTTTTCAAAATTCATTTCTAAGCCTTATGGATTAAGTCTAAGCAATATTTAGTTCATTTAAACCAAAGCTCTAATATTAATTGAAACACTACTCATATAAGTAGAATTTTAAAATATTTTTAAAAATGAAATAAATCATTTAAAAAACATTTTTGCAGATAATGTACCAAACATTTAAGTCTTTAACAATTTGAAGTTTAGACTTTAGAATCATAACAAAGTATATGATGGTGTAATCGAAAAAGATAAATTAAACATTAACTTATAGGGATAATATCACTGTAGCACATGGAACTTTTAACGTTTGGCTAATTTGGTCCTTAAAGTTTTTTTTTTGGTACATTAGACCATTAAACTCGTAACTGACCTTTTAATTACACCATTTTAGCAACTTTTAGAAGGTTTCCCGGTTATACGATGCCATTTTGTCAATTAATATATATTTTTTGTCTAATTCAATGCCACGTGAGATATGCCACATCAATTAATGAAATACGACGCTTAAAGCCTTTCGTCTTCAGCTATTGAACTTCACTAGTCTTCTTCTTCATTATTGAGCTGTAAAAGAAACCGATTTAGGGTTTGTGAAGCATTCCTGTGATCGAGCTGAAAGAAACAAAGAACTCGCAACAATGGCACAATCAGAACCTAATGGACTATTTGCGATGGTGGAACTCAACTACCAAGGGGTATTTAATCGAAATCCTTTCTCTTACACTGGTGGTGTTAAAACCATCTTCAATGATGTTGAATTTTCTTCTATGACTTATTCTGAGTTTGTGACCTTCTGCGAACGTTCCATGCATGAAGAGTGTAAAAATTTTTACTACTATGAACCAGACATGTCCTTCATGGAAGGCCTTAATCCCATTTCAGATGATGTGGAATATTCTGCTTTTATTTTTGATGCTTATGGAACAGATGGTGTAATTTCGGTTTTTGTGGATCATATTGGGTTGGTGTTGATGGGTGGCATGATGATGAAGATAATGATGATGATGAACATGAGTCTTGTATTGATGGTGAAAATGAAGACAACATAGATGAACTTAGAAATGTTGCCTTTGAATTTAATGAGGATGTAGTGCATATGAATAGGACATCAAATGATCCTTTCTTGAGTAAGCTATGTGTTGATGATGAGGATGCAAACAACATTGTAGATGATGACAATGGGAGAGAAGTTGAAGTTAACATACAAGCTCATTCCATATTTAATGAGCTATTACACTGGAAAAAACAAAAACCAATTCTAGGGATGAGATTTAAGGGTCCAGGGCAAGTAAAATCAATGTTGTGTAACTATGCTGTAGCTAATGGATATCAATTGTGTTTTGAAAAAAATGATCGGACAAGACTTTTGGTGAGGTGTAGCAAAGGTGCTTGCACATTTAGATTATGGGCTTCCTGGATGAGTGATGAAGAGAGTTTCCAAATCAAGTCACTAAAAGCTGATCATAATTGTGCTAGGAACTTCAAGTTTGGATCATTGGTGACATATGCATGGATTGGGAGTCACTATACCAAAGAGATTGTAGAAAGTCAGAAAATAAGTGTAAGGAAGCTTAGGTTAAAGGTAATGGCCAAGTTTGGTATCCAAGTTAGTATGGGGCAATGTAGAAGAGCAAAGAAGTATGCACTGAAACTTGTTGAAGGAAACCTTGTTGAACATTATGGTAAGCTATGGTCATATGGTCATGAGATTTTAAGGACAAATCCTGGGTCAACTGTGAAACTAGATATGGAGGATGGGCCAGATGGAAAGAAATATTTTAGCAAGTTCTATTGTTGTTTTCAAGGAGTTAAACAAGGTTGGATTGAAGGGTGTAGAAGGGTAATTGGTCTTGATGGATGTTTTCTTAAAGGTGTTTGTAAGGGAGAATTGCTTTGTGCTATTGGGAGGGATGCAAATGACAAGATATATCCTATTGCTTGGGCAGTGGTTAATGTGGAGAACAAGCAGAATTGGAAGTGGTTTCTAGAGCTTCTCATTGATGATCTACACTTGAATTTAGGCAATGGTTTCAGTTTAATGTCAGACCAACATAAGGTTAGTATTTTACATAGTAATGCATTTATGTTAATTTTAGACTATCTGAATTTAACCTTTTTACTAATACAGGGTTTGATAGAGGCTGTTAAAGAGTTGCTGCCATATGTAGAGCACAGGCAGTGTGCTAGACATATTTGCCAGAATTTGCAGAAGAGATTTACTGGTGCCATATATCATACCTTGTTTTGGAGAGCATCTAAAGCCACAACTGAGCATGCTTTTAAAGTTGTGATGAAAGAAATTGAGACATTGAACCCAGAAGCCCATCAATATCTCATGGAGAAAGATCCTAAAACATGGTCTAGAGCTTTCTTTCAAACTGGAAGGTGTTGTGATGCAGTTGAAAATGGGTTCTCATAAAGTTTTAATGCTGTAATAGTAGATGCTAGGAAGAAACCCATAATAACCATGTTAGAGAAGATAAGATTATACATGATGGACATAATCTACAACGTGAAATTAAAGGGACAACAATGGGGAAATCATATTTGTCCAGAGATAAGGGATAAGGTGAATTTGCTTAAAAAAGCTCAAAGGCATTATCAGGTACTACCAAGTGGATTAAACCAGTTTGAGGTAAGGGGAGCAATAGATGCATATGAGGTGGACTTAGAAAGAAAAACATGCTCATGTAGGTTGTGGCAATTGAATGGATATGGATGTGCTCATTCTGTAGCTAGCATATCCTTTCTTAATAGGGATGTAGAAGCCTATGTAGACAACATGTTTAGCACAACCACATTTAGAAAGGCATACAATTACAGAATTGCTCCCACGAATAACAGTGACATGTGGCCAGAGACAAACTATACTCCACCATTGCCTCCTATTAATAGAAGGATGCCTGGTAGGCCAACTACTAAGAGGAAGAAATCCACTACAGAGAATACAGGAACACACAGGGTTTCTAAGGCTGGAAAGAAAATCAGATGTAGTATTTGCAAGGAGATAGGTCACAACAAGGCCACTTGTCCACAAGAAGGCCCAAAAAGTTAAATGTGAAGAAACAGAAGAAACAAAAAGTATGTGTGAACCAAAATGCAGGACAGGTAAAACAATTTAAAATATAAGATTAATTACATATAATTTGTTTCTAATATAATTATATCATGCCATGTAGGGTAGTACAAGTGAACCACAACAACATGAAGAGGTTGAAATGACTCCAATTGAGATGGATACTACTCAAAATGATATGCAAGTTGCTCCTACTGATGTTGAATCTAGTAGTGCAGGGGATTTTATTCGATATGTGCAATTCACTCCACCTAGAAGTTATGAAGGTGATGAGGGTGATATGGGTGAGGAAGCTGATGTGGTTGAGGAAGCTGTTGTGGTTGAGCAAGTTGTTCAAGATGAGGAGGCTGAGGAGGTTGATCCTGTTATACAAGTTGATAATGTAAATGTTCAGGAGGTTGATGAGGTTAATCATAATGCCCAAGTGGATAATGGTAATGTTCAGGAGGTTGCTCCTGTTAACCAAGTTCAACAGGTTTATGTTAGGCCAATTTCAGATATTTTGAAGAGGATAAGGAGAAGAAAGTCAGAGAGAATACTAAAGCTGAAATTAGGCAAAACAATTGGTGGTGTTGATGATCCAGGAAATTCGAAGGGAAAAGCTCTTGTAATTGATTACTGTTTATTGTAATTTGTGTTTAAAGTTTATGTAATGGGATGATGATAAATTGGATTTTAAGTTTATATAATAGGATTATGGTAATTTATATTTAAAGTTTATGTAATAGGATGTTGGTAATTTATATTTAAGTATGTGTGACATTAAAAGGTATTTTGGTCATTTAAGTATGTATGAAAGAAAAAGGGTAATCTGGTCATTTAAGTATTTATGACAGAAAAGGGTATGTTGGTCATTTATTTATTGATGACAAATAAGGGTATGTAGGTAATTCATTTATATATGCAAGAAAAGGGTAATTTGGTCATTCTATATTTATGACAGAAAAGGGTAATTTGGTCATTTATTTATTGATGACAGATAAGGGTATGTAGGTAATTCATTTATGTATGCAAGAAAAAGGGTAATTTGGTCATTTAAGTATGTATGACAGAAAAGGGTAATTTGGTCATTCATTTATGTATGTAAGAAAAGGGTAATTTGGTTATTTAATTATGTATGATAGAAAAGGGTATGTTGGTCATTTATTTATGTATGCAAGAAAAGGGTATGTTGGTCATTTATTTATGTATGACATGAAGTATGAAAGTATGTTACCATTTTAAGTAAAATCATGACATTTGGCTTTGAATATTTATGCATGGAAAAAATTGGAATAATGTGCATGCATGGAGATGTTTTATATGGCCCCGGATTTGGTTTTTTAATGGCTTCACAGGTCCCATTTTTTCATTATTAAAATGGTTCCCATACACATAGTGTACTTCCACATGGACCACTTCCTAATTAAATATATTTGTTAGGAATATAGACCATGCATATGTTTGATAAACATCATCTGATTATACAAAATGCCCTACAATTGGGACTTTGAATATTTTTTTACATTACTTATCATATGCCCTTTCATTAGGGACTTACCACCTTACAACATCAACACATTAAGGTTGATAACCCCAACTTATAACTAAAACCAGCTTCAATACATACAAAATGCCCTTATGGAATTGACTTTATAGTCTGCCTTTACAAAAAATACAAGGGATCCCAAAAAAACAAAATCTTACCCTAACCAACCAAACTAACTACATTGACCCCCCTAACTTCAAAACACATAGGACCAAGCAACCAAACAAGAAGACAACTATCATCTTGTACCTTGTGACATCCCCAAAATCTCGGCCAGAAAAGACCGATTTTCATTTATGCTTTTAAAATAATTTCAGAGTAAATCCTTTTGATTTGAAAGAGTTGCGGAATTTGTTCCCAAAAACAAAACATGATAAAACAATGTTTACCAAAGCATCTCATAAAAGAAATGTATTTTTCATTATATAATCAAAACTCGGGGTGTCATGTTCCGATACAGACCAATAAGCATAAACGATAACATTACAAGTCATTCAAAAAATATATACATATACAGACTCGTAAACAAAACAACTTGATGGTTCATCCATCTTACGCCCTTGCGCCACTTCCTGTAATACAAATAAAACTGAGTGGGTCAGGCTTGGGAGCCTGGTGAGCATATAGGGTTTTCAACCCACAATAAATAATTAAATTAATTATTATCAACCAACAATAACCCAGTTACCCATTCCCGTTATTCTCACTTTATGTCCCTAAAATAACTAACACAAGGGACCTAATCTAAGAATATTTTCATCGGGGTGACAACACATGTTGTGGGGGTTCCTTAGCAATATAAGTCAAATAAGGCAACCATGAGGGGGATGGAATACAACGAATGAACACCCAAGTTCATTAACACCTACAGGTTATGAGCATGCTAGCGTTCCACTGGACTGTCTAGGAAAATCCATGGTTGCCATCTAAATTCCGCTAGATGACTGGATCAAAACAACAACGAGGCCTCTCATCTGTTTATTACACACCAACTATCTACCCATGTTCTACCCAACATATCAGTAGATAAAAACATACATTTTTATACATATTTTCAAAACCTGTATAGCATGCTTGATCAATACATTTTCCATATAACAGATGAGGCACACACACATAACACGTATTTCATATAGAAATAATCAGATCTGTAAGATAGAAGAAAGTGAATATACATTCACACACATAACAACAAAATATACACATAACACGTATCTCGTATAAAATACTTCATAATTATACGTTAGGAGAAAGTAACAACACACTCACACATATAAACAACAATATACTTAATACACTCAAACCATACTTGTATTATTATTGCGTTTATGAAAGGTAGTATACACTCACTTGATCAGAAGATGATCGGACAGTACTACGACTTGCAAAAGTAGTAATCCTCAGCAGATCTGAAAGATCTCTACAAAAATCGAGCTTCTCGCGGGCAGAGCTTCAGCTCGAAAACCGCACTTCTCGGGATCTTCGGGATCTCGGGACTTGCTTCGGGACTCAGGAATATTACCGGGGCTTCAGGGTATTTCTGGCACGCAAATCGAGGCAAAACGGGAGAGAGAATGGAGAAAAATAGCAAAGAAGTCAGCTGCCCTCGCATCCTATTTATAGGAGGCTGATGCCTCGGAGTGCGCGGGGCGTACAGGTCCGAAATCGTCACTGCGTTCGTCATCCGAAGCCACTTGATGCGAGTGTCGACATCCTCGGTGTACGCGAGGCGTACTTTGGATGAGTCTGATGACTCGTCCTCGGATAATACCGGATTTTTCAATTAAATTTAAATACAAATTATTTAATAAACTTCAGAAATTCATATCTTCTTCATACGAACTCCGTTTTCGACGTTCTTTATATCCACGCGAAGGTGAGACTACGCTCTACAACTTTCGTTTAGACTCCGTCTGCTAATTTTGATTTTATTTTTATTATTTATTTTTAATAGGCCGAGACAGAAAATTTCGTTATAAATTCATAACTTCTTCGTTTGACGTCCGTTCTCGCCTAACTTTTTATCGCTTTGATACTAACAACGAGATATTCGATTCTCGTTTAGATCACTAAGGCTAAATATCGCTCTAACGTAAATTTCACTTTTTACGTTATTCAACGGTGCCTGTTCTGTCGCGAAACTTCAACAGGTCATAACTCCCTCGTTATAACTCGGATTTCGGCATTCTTTATATCTTCGGAAACCTTGTTTCAACTACTACAACATTATCTAAAGATATCGAGTTTATTTTACACTTAAATTTTGACGCTTATTTTTATTCTTAATTAATCAAACCACATAATTAAGCAATTAAGCACAAAACACATAATACTCAAATAATACACTTCTATTATTTCAAAACGGGTTATAAAGGTTAACCTAAACTATTACATTGCTAAAAATGGCAAGCCCAGAAACACAGACATTACAATTCTCCCCACCTTAGGATGATTCCGTCCCAGGAATCACACCTCAACAAACAAATGCAGATAGCGACCCATCATGTCACTCTCCGTCTCCCAAGTGAGATTCGGACCATTCGTGTGTTTCCATCGGACAAGCACTAACTCGATCATCTTGCGTCGCAACTTCTTAGTCTTTCGGTCAACAATTGCCTCTGGTTCTTCAATCAACCTTTTGTTCTCATCGATTCCCAACTCCGAAAGTGGAATCATGTCGGGAACTTCCCCCGTGAACTTCCGTAAATAACACACATGAAAAGTGTTATGAATTCCATTCAGTTCTTCTGGTAGTTCGAGCTTGTAAGCTTGGTTCCCAATCCTCTGAAGAACTTTAAACGGTCCAATAAACCTTGGGCTCAACTTTCCCCGTTTACCAAATCTTATAAGTCCCTTCCACGACGAGACTTTAAGTAAAACGAATCCCCAACTTCAAAAGTCATCGGTCTTCGCTTTTTGTCAGCATAGCTCTTTTGACGATCCTGAGCTGCTAACATTATTTCCCTAATTATTTTCAACTTTTCAGCAGTTTGATGAACCATCTCCGGTCCCATAAATTGCTTTTCCCCAGCCTCAAGCCAACAATACGGTGTACGACACTTTTGTCCATACAAAGCTTGGTAAGGTGCCATCTTAATGCTCGAGTGAAAACTATTGTTATAGGAAAATTCTACCAATGGTAAATGTTCATCCCAATTACCTAGGAATTCCAAGGTACATGCTCTCAGCATATCTTCAAGTGTTTGTATCGTTCTTTCACTCTGACCATCAGTCTGCGGATGGTAAGCTGTACTTAAACATAACTTGGTACCCATTTCCTCTTGTAGACTTTTCCAAAACCTTGAGGTGAAACGACTATCACGATCCGACACAATGGTTTGCGGAACACCGTGAAGTCTCACAATTTCCTTCACATAAGAATTCGCAAGATTTTCCATAGACCATTTCTCCCTGGCTGCTATGAAATGCGCATTCTTAGTGAATCGATCGA